TCAAGCTGTCTCCAACCATTATTAGTCTCAAAGTCGGTTCCTTGTTATCGAATTTGTATTCATTACTGTTTAAAGTGTAGCTGCGTTGTTCGAAATACCGGCATTTTGTTTTCGTTGTATTTAAATAGCTATGTTGGTTTATATATTTGCAGTATTGTAAATACCAAACTATTATTATACTTCTGCCTAATCTTAACGCTCATATTTCAATAAAAATGTAATCAAATCAAAAAGTTGTCTTTCCTAGCCGTTAAAGTTTGAGAAAAAGTTTTAACAACAACAGTTAAATAAAAGATGCTTTAGATCAATGCTAAGACGTTCGCTTAAGTAAATAAAAGTTTTAATCAACAAAATTTGATCGCGACACTGAACTCCTCCTCAAATTGCACGGTTGAAATTCATACTTCTACCTAACAAACAATTGTAGATAATTTACGAGCCTTGAAATGTTTATATACAGATATGAGATGAGAGTTGTCCTGAAAGATAATTACTGCAATTACTGTAAAATTAATGTGAAATAGAAGAATCTGGAAGGAGCTTTAAAACAAAAAGTACAAAATATATATTATACTTTATTACGTATACTGCCCAGATTTTATTTCTTTTTTCATGACCGATGCAAAAATCATCTTCCTTTATTTGTAGTTTGATATCTTTTACATAATGCTTATGATGAAAACAGATTTGAATGAGTAAGCATATAAGGTAATTAAGAGGGTTAGAACATTGTGAGTTAATGGAAAAGGAAGACATAGGGAGCGGATTTATTTGATTTGGTTGTTGTTAAGCTCAAAGCTACACAATGAGCTAGCTGTACGCTGCCCATCATCGGTATCGAAGCCCGATTTTTGGCGTCTTATTTTCTCCCAAACTGTAGATAAATTAAATACTAATCAACCTATACAGTTGTTTCACAGTTTAACAGTTCCGAGAAACGAACAAACAAGGATAGAGCTTTGCAGTAAAGCACATAATGGTTTTCACATTTTCTAGTTTTTATTTAAACGAAAATGTAATCTACGTTTCATCGATAAAGACGAGCTGCAATAATCGTACATTCTGTTCGAAAACGACTGGTATTGGGAACACGAAGAACAAGTCGTTCTGTGATAATCAAAGGTGCGCACAGGAAACTGTGGGATTCAGCTGTAGAAGATGTAAACAAAGAAATAATTACAGTTGTTGGTTATAGCGTTCTTCTGGAGGAGATATGTATATTTTCAATACTTATAAAGTCTAGAGTTGGTATTTTAGTTTAGTCTAGTTAGGACTGGACACTTTTATATTTTATTACTACGAGTAATTACTACTAAGCGTAAAATTAAGACATTAGCGCTTGACCTTGATAATTGATCATTAGACTTATTTTTCCCTTTTATTTTTAATGTAACTACTACCATAGTATAACGTTAAAGAACAACAAGAGATCTTCTGGTCCATCTAGGCCGTCATATCCATCGAAATACACAATAAAAAACCTCAAAGCTAGCCCTTATCATTCAAATATTTCTCAAGCTTTCCCTTAAATTAATTGCATTTACTACAACTGAAGGAAACCCGCTCCAAAGGCCAACCACCATTTAGAAAAATAAAGCTTTCATATCTTAAAATGACTCCTGACCTTTAATCAAACTTCTAAATACTTACACAGATGGTGCATCAACACTATAACAATCTTAAACACATCAATCAGATCTCCTTTAACGCTTCTTTCTTCAAGAGAAAACAAGTTCAGGGATCTTAATTTATCCTTTTATGACAGCCTTTTCTTCCCAGGCGTCATCCATGTAGGCCTCCTCTGATCCCTTTCCAACAATTCAATATTCTTATAAGGTAAGGAGCCTAAGACTGAATACAGTACTTCAAACTTCGCCTAACCAATGATTTATGCAATGACATTGTAACCTCTTCAGGCTTGTATTCATTATTTCTGTAGCTAAAACCTAAAATCCTATTCGCCCTGCCACTAGCAACAGCACATTGCTTGGATGGCTTGAGAAATTGATCAACCAGAACACCACGAACTTTTTCATCCATAACGGTGTTAAAGTTATTTCCATCCAAATTATACTTATAATTCCAATTCTGATATCCCATATGTATTATTTTGCATTTATTATAAATAAGTCATCTGCCATTTATTCGCCCAACTCATCTAATGGGTAGTGAAACAAAGGAAGACGAAAGATGTATGTAGACGAGACAACCAACATTGCATTTTAACTATTTCATATATTTGTTGTTTTACGTATTTTAAAGTGTGATTGGTCATTATGAATGTCATAATTGAAACCCTAATCAACAACGATAAAACATATTATATGAATTGTAAAAATACATTATATAGTTGGATATGAACTACTGCTTGTATTGTACCTTTTCACTTTGTGTTTAGTTTCCTAGAAATAGTGCTTAATTTTTCCAAACCTTAATAAACAGTTCTTGTCAGTCTGCAATTTAGTCATGACGTCAAGGTAATAAAGTGTGGTTGTGACTACTACCCAATAGAATAGCTAAAACAAAAACAGAAAATACAGAGGTGATAAAGTGTGGTTGTGATTACTACCCAATAGAATAGCTAAAACAAAAACAGAAAATACAGAGGTAGATAAAGTGTAGTTGTGATTACTACCCAATAGAATAGCTAAAACAAAAACAGAAAATACAGAAGTAATAAAATGTAGTTGTGAATACTACCCAATAGAATAGCTAAAACAAAAACAGAAAACACAGAAGTAATAAAATGTAGTTGTGATTACTACCCAATAGAATAGCTAAAAAAAACCAGAAAACACAGAAGTAATAAAATGTAGTTGTGATTACTACCCAATAGAATAGTTAAAAAAAACAGAAAATACAGAGGTGATAAAGTGTAGTTGTGAATACTATCCAATAGCTAAATAAAACAGATTATGTTTTCTAACTTTTAAAAATTCGATTATTATGAAGGTGCCTTTATTTTCCTGCTTGTATCAGAATAAAATTACAAGCGTGTGCCATATGAAATAACTATGTGGTTTGATAGCTATGTGTATTGGTTGTTGTCTTTAGAGAAAATCTACACAGTGTGTTTATATGCTCTATGAGTCTTCTAGCAATCGAATCCCGAACTTTAGCGTTGTAAAGTTCCAAAGTTTACTGCCAAACCACCGGTGAACATCTACTGGCGACGCTTGAAAGCTAGAATGAATACTTTCCTACAACACCCAGTTACCACTTACGGAATCCGAGCTTCTATTTTCACAGTTGTCTTTCAAACGCTCATGAAATACCAAAATTATCTCTTGGATTTTTTATACACTACAGATAAGAAACGCTATTCAAAAATGTTTCGTTTCATGACCCACAACTGTGAGGTTTTGTCATAAATATCCAGTTTTTATCATTCATGACTTTGAAAATACGAATCAGCTGTGTTTCAAGCCTGTCAATAGAAAACACTAATATGTACTAAACGTAGCATTAGACTAGATGAAAAATCAATAGTACAAGCGTTTCATAACGTTATATATCGATTAAAAGGTATACAGTAAGCCGTAATATGCTTGTCTCTCATTAGCTGTATGAATATTGTCTGGTGAGTAAGCGAAGATTATGAAATTAAATAACTTACAAATTTACACAATTTTTGGGGCAGTCTTGGCTTTAAATTTCGTTTTTAATTGCGTCAATTTCAACTTTGAAGATAATTATACAGAAGTGTGATTGCGGCCTCACTTTGCATTTGATGTTGAGGTTAACAAATCTACCAATGACAGTCTAAGTAGAGCACGTGACACTTGAGCTCTGTTGTCATGGCTAGAAGATTGAAGCCCGGAGTATATAATAGTTCCGGCGGGACTTTAAGAGTCGCAAGTATCTCTCTCTATACTACACAAACAAGACTCAGAGGAAAACCTTTGTCATTAGATGGTTAGCAGTTTGGCGGGGAATGATGTTAGATGTTTCAAAACGTTCAGCTGGGCCCAATAGACGTTGCAGAGCCGTGAGCACCGGTATTGGTACAGCGCAAGCTTGTAGCATGCCAGACCTACAGTTTCTGTTTACAATACCACATTCTTCATGTCGCACGACTCCGGGAAGCTCTCCCAGCTCGAGCCCAGTCAGAGCCCAAACAACGTGTCAAAATAAATATAGAGGCAAGAGCTTGAAGCAACCCGAGAGTCCCAGACGGTCCACCTATCCACTTGCTTCACCCTCTCGCCGTTGTCGGAGCAAATTATGGACAGGTGAGGAAGTAGATCCTTGGGCTCAGTTCAGACGAAGGGTCATCACTAGTCCTTCCCCACCCAGCAGCCTGATCTTGAGTGGTCACCGTCTTCGTCGGTTCAGTGTCACTACAAAGGGGATTATTCACTTGGGTGATTTGGTCAGGGATCGATCCCGTTCTGACATAGAATCCTACGAAGGAAGTAGAAGCGACTCAAGTGAACACCCTTCCTCATCGTCTTCCAGCCGTAGAGGCAGTAATCCTGCTCGACACCATGTAGTGATTCTTGGAGAAGACAACGTAGGTAAAACAAGCCTCGTCTCCCACTTCTTGAATTCTGAATATCTGACAGGATATGAAAGTTACTGTGACACTCTGGGTAGGCGGTTTTTTCTATATTCTAATATAATTATGGTACGACTCTTTATGTGCAGTTTTTCAGAAGAATAAAATGCTTACAATTAAGAACATATTGTTCTTTCTTACTGATTACTTCCTGTAAAAAAAATTAAGATCCTAGCTCTTCTTAAGTTCAGTAAAATATACAAATGTGTACTTAGTATAACTTAGTATTGCCTTAAAGGCAACTGTTTATCGTCTTACTTAGTATAACGTCCAATCACTCTCTACCTACAGTGATTTCCTTAAAGGCAACTGTTCATTGGCTTACTTAGTATAACAAGCATAAAAAAATGTGGACGCTCTCTACCTACAGTGATTTCCTTAAAGGCAACTGTTTATCGCACATCATATGTAAAATAATTTAAAACCGACACTGGGTTACTTTGTTTTGTTCGGAGCGATGACGTGTAGATGTCAAGATCCAGTACGACTTGAAAATGGGCGAAGATTCATTCGTTTCCTCTCTATAGTTTAAGGAGCCTATTCTATTACTGATTTTTTTATTTTTTCATGTTAGTTGTACGTGTAGCATATTATTATTTCCTCATTGATCTTTTATGAAAAAGAAACCCAAACCATGCTTGCATTTCAATGTATATAGGAAAATGTCCTTGTTTTCAATGTTTTGTACACCTTCCAACGTCTGTGTATTTACTTCCAATCATTTGGTAACAGTCTTTCGACTTTCAGAAGAAAACAACGAGAGATCAGTTTCCGTGCTTATTGAAGGAGAAGAAACCGAGCTGACGTTTCAATGCGAGTCTTCCTCTGACATCACGGTATGTTATGTGTCTATAAATATTGATATTCACCGTCTATAGGAATTCATTGATACGTGTGTCAGTATTTGTTCAAATATCAATATATAATTTTCTGTATAAGAGGATCGTTGGTTGTTTTGAATTTCGCGCAAAGCTACACGAAGGCTATCTGCGCTAGCCGTCCCTAATTTAGCAGTGTAAGACTAGAGGGAAAGCAGCTAGTCATCACCACCCACAGCCAACTCTTGGGCTACTATTTTACCAATGAACAGTGGGATTGACTGTCACATTATAACGCCCCCACGGCTGATAGGGCGAGCTTGTTTGGTGGGACGAGGATTCGAACTCGCGACCAGCAGATTGCGAGTCGAGCGCACTAACCACCTGGCCATGCTAGGCCCTGTATAAGAGAATAATAACTAAGAACTGATGTCTTTGTGTATATGTTTCAACATAGTTCTTGAATTTTGGGATAATTCGTTGTTTCTGAAAATGAAATAACAAGTAAAATCTAGCTAGGAGAAAGCGTTACTTAGTTAGCATCTTAAAGTATGTATTGATTTGAAAGTACAAGCTTGAAAGTAGTCTTGCTATTCAGCTTCAGCCAAAGTAAAGTAGACTTGCTATTTGGCTTCAGCCAGAGTAAAGTAGCCTTGCTATTCAGCTTCAGCCAGAGTAAAGTAGCCTTGCTATTAAGCTTCAGCCAGAGTAAAGTAGCCTTGCTATTCAGCTTCAGCCAGAGTAAAGTAGCCTTGCTATTCAGCTTCAGCCAAAGTAAAGTAGACTTGCTATTTAACTTCAGCCAGAGTAAAGTAGCCTTGCTATTCAGCTTCAGCCAGAGTAAAGTAGACTTGCCAAGTCTACTTTAGTCTGGCTGAAGCTGAATAGCAAGGCTACTTTAGTCTGGCTGAAGCTGAATAACAAGTCTACTTTACTCTGGCTAAAGCTGAATAGCAAGTCTAGTATACTTTGGCTGTAGCTGAATAGCAAGTCTACTTTAGTCTGGCAGAAGCTGAATAGCAAGTCTACTTTACTTTGACTGAAGCTGAATAGTAAGTCTACTTTACTTTGGCTGAAGCTGAATAGCAAGGCTACTTTACTTTGGCTGAATCTGAATAGCAAGTCTACTTTACTTTGACTGAAGCTGAATAGCAAGGCTACTTTACTTTGGCTGAATCTGAATATATTCAGCTTTAGCCAGAGTAAAGTAGACTTGTTATTCAGATTCAGCCAGAGTAAAGTAGCCTTGCTATTCAGCTTCTGCCAGACTAAAGTAGACTTGCTATTCAGCTACAGCCAAAGTATAGTAGACTTGCTATTCAGCTTCAGACAGAGTAAAGTAGCCTTGCTATTCAGCTTTAGCCAGAGTAAAGTAGACTTGTTATTCAGATTCAGCCAGAGTAAAGTAGCCTTGCTATTCAGCTACAGCCAGACTAAAGTAGACTTGCTATTCAGCTTCAGCCAGAGTAAAGTAGCCTTGCTATTCAGCTTTAGCCAGAGTAAAGTAGGCTTGTTATTCAGATTCAGCCAGAGTAAAGTAGACTTGCTATTCAGCTTTGTTTACTTCGAGTGGTCTTGCTACTCCACTTCTGTAATAATAAAGTAGACTTGCTATTCAGATTCGTTTAGATTAAGGTAATGTTGTTATTCAGCTTCAGCCAGAGTAAAGTAGGCTTGCTGTTCAGCATCAATCAATATAAAACAGAAAGGCCATATTTGGTCTAAAGTTAGGGTTTCGATTTTTTCAAAGACATGTCTATTCAAGTCCAGAGTGTAGATATCTGAATAGAGATTAACTGATTGTTTAACTATGTTAGTAGTGAGAAAGTGCAAAATTCGTTTACAAATTAGATACATTGTAGGCAATGAAGGTATTTCTTTCCTCTGCTGGGTTACATTCTACTGATCAATACTAGTCACCCTAGTTTTACTCATCTGTACTATATACGAGACTGATTGTTGTCGGCTTAGATATAGAGACATATTTGTGTATATATAAATATTTAGGGATGTGCGTGTGTGTATATTAATTCGCATGTGTGGACTTCGTTTCTACATGTCCTCCGATGGGATAGAGGCAAGTCCGTGTACTTACAATGTACGAATCTGGAGTTTTATTCTCCACGATAAACTGAGTGCAGATGGCCCGTTGTATAGCTTTGCACTAAGAAAACAACAACAACGTTGCGTTATATACTTGCACGTGCGCATATGCGATTCATTTGTATTGGGTATGTGCGCGATTCTCTTTACATACAGTACAAGTGAGTGCGTGCGTGTAATTCTCTGCATTATGTTATTGTTATTGATGTAGATACACATCGATAAATCTACGCCATCAGCTATTGCTGTATGCTTTGTTTGTTTGTTTGTTTTAGTGCAAAGCCACATTGGTATATCTGCTGTGTTCACAGCGGGGAGTTGAACCCAGAATTTTAGAGTTGTAAGTCCATAGACTTACCGCTGTCGCACCGGGGAACTGTTGTATGCACAATAGGCTTAAATGTAGTTTTCATTGTTATTCATACAGATTGGGTCCATACTAACGTTAAAAAAAAAAAGTCCGTTTTGTGTAAACTATCATTTTTACAGAGTTTAGTGGGTTATATGCAGAAATACCTGTACATAGTTAAAACCAAATTCTGATTCTAAGAATATGCACTTAGAAAACAGATACCGGTCACTTTTCATGCAATACATGTGATTGTTTTTTCTCAACTGTTGTGACTTTTATGTTATTTTCCATTTCTTTCAAAGAAAAAGATATAGATTATCAATTTCAACTCTCTCTATCTGAAGTTTACAAAATCACCATTGTAATATAGTAACAGTTCACTAAGCCTGAAATGCCCGCTGACTCTTGCCTCAACTCAAACAGTGAATATAACGACATTATATCTTAAGTGCTTTGCAAACATACATCGAGTGAAACAAGATCACTTTAATTATGCTAGTATATTAAAACTAATGAGAAATGTCAAAGTTAATCTTTGATCTAGAATAATTCTCCCGCACATTATTCAGTTAAATGTTTGTAACCTAGTTTCTTTTTCTCACAAGTCTATTACATATTTACTTGAATATAATCATACTTAGAACTTATCGAAGTAACAGATTAACCGTTAGTATATTAGAGACTTTGTTAGTTATGTGCCAACGATCTCGTTTAAAGATATTTGTAAAAGGTTTCAGCTCCAAACGCTTGTTTATTGTTAAGCACAAAGCTACATATTGGGCTATCTGCGGCGTGATCACCGAAGAGAATCGAATTCCAGAATTTAGTGTTACACAGCTCCAAAAGACAAGAACCTTTCCAACCTATTGTTTTGTTCAGATAAATGAATTGTAAGAGATGTAAAGAACACGGTTCAAACAATACTCAATGTTCACCAAATTATTCACAATTCCATGAATTAAGTATGCAAACAAAACATTTAATGGAATATGTATGTACACAAAACATTTAATGGAATATGTATGTACACAAAACATTTAATGGAATATGTATGTACACAAAACATTTAATGGAACATGTATGTATACAAAACATTTAATGGAATATGTATGTATACAAAACATTTAATGGAATATGTATGTACTCAAAACATTTAATGGAATATATATGTACTCAAAACATTTAATGGAATATGTATGTATACAAAACATTTAATGGAATATGTATGTATACAAAACATTTAATGGAATATGTATGTATACAAAACATTTAATGGAATATGTATGTACTCAAAACATTTAATGGAATATATATGTACTCAAAACATTTAATGGGATATGTATGTAATTTCTCACACATTGATATAAAAAAATGTACGATATTACAGAAAGGATATTTTTCTTCCAGTTTTGATTTATCAGTGTAACTGACCTTAAGTTCGGTAACATTTTAATCTAATTCACAATTATTCTCTTTTTTATATATTTTTACTATTAGGTGGACGACACCACTTTTTCCCTTACAGCCGCCTTTCTTGTAGTGTATTCAGTGACGGACAGAGTGAGCTACGAATATGCTGGACGAACTCTGGCCCTGTTGAGATATTTGGGAACAAAATTGTCTACTCATATCTTGGGCTCTGATTCCTTCCCAAAAGCTCTCATTCTCGTCGGAAACAAAGCAGATTTGGCTCGTAGTAGAACAGTGACAGAAGAAGGTAAACGTTACCTTTTGTGTATTATTATTGAGTATAAGCCATTGTTTTCTACCTGAACGGCATCTTATGCTGTACATCGACTAAACGACATAGGGATCGGGTACAGCAGTGTTACATTTTAATATAATCACTAAAGAGAAGGAATCGTATGAGCAGCGCCTGCCATCAAAAGTAATAATAGAATTGACTGTCACTCTTATAACGCACCCACTGCTTGAAATCAGGTACTTGTTTATCTTAAGCTTCCCGGTAGATAGCCCGGCATGCTAACCATTGAGTCGCACTCGGTTCTGAACATTAAAGCAATATGCAGTTATAACTCGAAACAATCTGGTTTAGACAACATTTTTAAAAGCTTTATTATTTTTGATCTTTTGTTTTTTTGTCCTTATAACATTTATGTATCTTGGATAGCTATTGGCTAACATTTATGTATCTTGGATAGCTATTGGCTAACATTTATGTATCTTGGATAGCTATTGGCTAACATTTATGTATCTTGGATAGCTATTGGCTAACTTCAAATTAGTCCCTTATTTAACCCTAGTTTCATTTTAGTCATAATGTTATTATTGTAGTTGAAATTGTTTGCTTTTTCATAGCTTTCGGTGTTATATAAATTAAGTTAATTGTAATTATTAATAAAATAGATTATACATCAATATGCCAATGTATTACAAGAAACGAAAACAAAACTTTACAATTTCTTAACTATAACATTAAACAAGTACAATAAAAAAAATTCAAATTTTATAAAGACCAGTACAGATCGATATATACGTAACTTAGCTAGCTATGGTCATATAGAAAGTTTTAATGCTACAAAAAGTATTGAAAGTCAAACTACAAAAACTGACTTACTTAAAAGTTAAAAAAAAATATCCCTACTTTGGCAAATCACTGTAATTACATTAGTCTGAGCTAAAGTAAGGGTGATTTTTTTAAATCTACCTTCAAATTTAATTATATGCCTCAAGTAATGCATCGTTCGTTTTATATATATAATAGTATCCTTTTCGTTACATGAAAGGAATCATTGGGATCTTAGATATAAGAGTTCTGTAAAATAATTAGAGCGATAAGGTTCGCCTTTTTTTTGTACACTTGTTTGGGAAAGTCACTTTTTTCTTACTTAGATGAAAATTTATGGAAATAGTGAAACTATATTCACTCCATAAATACAGATAGGGACTTAGTTGGCTTTATAAGTTCAATAAGCTTTAATTTTGCTTAGCCAATACTGGGAAATAGTCATTGTTAATATTCAGACATTTTAAAGGTGGTTTTAAACGGACGATTTTTATAACCGTCATTTTGTTTCATCACGATCCCGTACTACCGTACTCGGTAACAAAATGCTCTTATTAAAGAAGACATCGGTTCATTTGAGACGTGTTTTAGTAGTGTCAATGTATTTCGTTTATTTATTTATTTTCAAACTAATTTTGCTCTTCAAATACTGGCTGAGGTCACCCGTTAAGGAAGTAAAAACGTTAGATAATCTTATTCCTTTTTTGTTTTTTCTTATTAAATCCCTAGTGACCTCATCGGATGCTAATTGCATTCCCAGCTATATGGGAAATAATAATAAACTCATTTAAATGATTAAATTATGTCTTAAAATTCAACACCAGAAGTCTATAAACAAAGTGGAAATGTGCCCCATTTCGAACTCTTTTTTTTTTCTCCCTTCTCGAGCAAAATTCCCAAAAGGAAAAATCACTTTTACACCGTTGTACAGATTTCAAGTTATCATAGAAAAATCACTTTTACACCGTTGTACAGTTTCAAGTTATCATAGAAAAATCATTTTTACACCGTTGTACAGATTTCAAGTTATCATAGAAAAATCACTTTTACACCGTTGTACAGTTTCAAGTTATCATAGAAAAATCACTTTTACACAGTTGTACAGTTTCAAATTATCATAGAAAAATCACTTTTACACAGTTGTACAGTTTCAAATTATCATAGAAAAATAACTTTTACACTGTTGTACAGTTTCAAGTTATCATAGAAAAATCACTTTCACATCGTTTTACAGATTTCAAGTTATCACGGTAATCGAGCCAGCCATCTCTGGATGGTGAAAGTTAACACACGTGATGGATCATCTTTAGAGTAAGATGACATGGCCATATATATTTTTACTCATTCTTTACACGGAGTTGTTATTTATCTTTTTTACAGAAGGCCGAACTCTAGCCAACAAATACAACATTAAGTTTATCGAGACTTCAGCAGCTATTACACACAACGTAGACGAACTATTGGTAGGTATCGTTAGCCAAATCCGTCTGAGATCAAGCATGATGAATGATGACAGTGCCGTCTACAGGTTTAGACGTCTAAGTGGAAAAGCTCTTGGATTGATGAGTAAATTTTTACAAAAATGTGAACTTAAAGTTAGATCTTGTGATAATCTGCATGTCCTGTGATAATCTGCATGTCCTATGATGCTTTTACATTTCTGTACGTGTTTTGATATATATGAAGTAACATTATGTGCCTCATTGTTTACACTGTGTGTTCTGTCCTGTTAATGTAAGTGTAAGTTAGACAAAATTATATCAACCAATATATGGCTGTAAAAGTAAGGCGGTATTTTCTTTCTCACAATTAACGGGGCAGAGTATGTAATGTAGCCAAAAAACTTATAAGTAATAATATTTCAGTTTTAGCTATTTATTTTAAGATCTCAACTATGTTTTCTTTATTCTTATATGTGAATTCAAATAATCTTTGATAAATTTGTTTCATACGATGCTACTTCTGTGGCTATTTACTACGATGGTGGTATTTTTTTTGTTGTTGTTGTTTTTTAGCGCAGAGCTACACAATGGGTTATCTGCGTTCTGCCCACCGTAGGGAAACGAACCCCGAATTTTAGCGTTGGAAATCCATAAATTTACCACTAACCTTCCAGTGTAACATTTACTAGGGAAAGAACTGCCATGAATTTGCTGTTGTCAAAACCAGAATTTTTGTTTTATGATTTTAAAATTTATCGTTATGAATATTAGTAACCTTTTATGTATTGTTAATTCTAATTGTTGAAAGAATGTTGATAAAGAAAACAAAATGTCGTTCATTGAACTAACATACATATATATATATATATATATTTATATTTGAGATAAAAAAAATAAAATTCGAAAATGTGTAAGGAGTTAGTTGTTTTATATTTAGTACATAGGAATATACTACCATATATATATATATATATATATATATATATATATATAAT